TAATCTGAAGAAATGTCTATGGCTGAGGCCAGTTGATTTAGCCATCCTGGAAGACACTGGAAGGCCCACAACTCAAGTACTTAAGTCTCAATGTGGGCTACGGTCTTTCAGACTTGGATATTTAACTTAATGGTATGAAGATGTAGATAGTATCATTTACTATAAAATCTGCATATTTAGTAAAATGTACAGGGATAAAACATGTAGACTTACTTAGTAAAAATGAAAAATCTCACCATGTGCTAATTTCTCATAATATTATATAAAATTAGGACTTTTAAAGGAGTAAGTTAAGATTAAAACAGGAAAATGAGGCTGGGCAGTGGTGGCTCATACATTTAATCCCAGCACTTGGGAGGCAGAGGCAAGCAGATCTCTGTGAGTATGAGGCTAGTCTGGTCTACAGAGCAAGTTCCAGGACAGCTAGAGCTGTTACACAAACCAAACCAAACCAAACAAAAAAACAAAAACAAACAAACAAAAGAACCCCCAAAACAAAGCAAAACAAACAAACAAACAAACAAAAAACAGGAAAATGAATAACCTCTCTAGTGGCTGATTGGATTCTAAGCATTCATTAGTCGTGCTCACAATTATGTGTCATGAGACATATGTATGAAACAACAAGGCTTTTCTTCAAATTAGAAACCAACATATTAAAACAACTTTTAAGATTGTGGCTTTCCCTATTCTTTTCATTTTTTCCTTGTTTTTCCCTTAGAATAGAAAACTCTAAAACATATTCTAATATCTTAATGTTTATATCATGCTGATTTTCATTTATTTAATTTTAATTGATTTATTTCTTGAAACCATCCTGGACAATTTTGTGTACAAATAGCCCTCATTCCTTGGGTGTATACATTTTTTGTGAAAACGGGCTCATATAGCCTTACCTTTCAGAGGAATGAGGGGTGGGTGGGTTGGGAGAGAAGGCTGGAGGAGGGGGGAGTGGGAGGAGGGATGAGAAGGGGATCTGTGGTTGGTATGTAAAATGGCTAAAAAAATTCTTATAAAGAATACAAAAAAGAAAATGGGCTCCTATAACTGAGTTTGACAGAGCATCATATCGGCATTTGTCATGAAAAGTGCAGTTCTTGTGAATTGTGAGATAATGTTAGTGTTTGTTTTTGAGGTTAACTTGTTTAGTTAACCAAGACAAGGATGTCAAAGGAAATTAAGTTTCAGTGGCTTCTAGGCTTCAGCTCATGCGTGGAGTTACAGAAGTGGACATGAAGTTGTCTTGGCAAGAACAAAATAGTCTATTTTCAACTTAGTCCACAGTTGATGCCTGTTCTCAGGACTCTGATTTGTAGTAAACAGTATGCTTTTGGAAGTTATGCCTACAACACATTTTAATAAAACAGTATTTAAAATACCCTCTCTGAAACACTCCATTAGCAAGAATCAAATATCTTCAAAACCAAATAACAACCCATTTCCTTTTGAACCATAAAATGTTGTCAGGTGTTTGAAAGGGAATGAACTGGCCTAGGGCCCAAAGACATCACTTGACACAGGATCCCTATGTTTTCCTTGTGGACAACATTAATTGAAGGTAAAGCTTACATGCAGTTTTTAAAAAATGAGACTGTCATGGAAATCAAGGCCAGCTGGCACCAATTCATAAAAAGGAAAAAAAAAAGAATTTCCACTATATTTGAGAACACCAAAACCTCATTTGCTACCACTGGGCACTGGAGTAACAATACCCACTGCAATTGTGTTTTACAGTCATTGAAAACATGTGTTGCTGGCTTTGAGACTCTCCATAATTTAATGTTTGCATTCATACTGCAAGTATAATTTTAAGAAGCATAACATGAAGATCTCAGCAATTTTATTCTAAAACTTGGGTGAATTTTGTGAAAATCCCTTAGAATTTCAAGTTTTGTCTGCACTTTATTAACTATGGGAGGTAAGACTTGTTTCAGTGTTCCTTGGGGATTATTGCTACTGTTAAACAAAAGCAAAACCTTTCTATTTAATATAACACTTTTTTTTTTCATTTAAGAAGGCTTAACAGTCATGTAATTCCAAATTTTCAATAAAATGTCATTATAAGAATGAGGATGATTGTTTTTGTTGTTCAAGAATATTAAAAGATATGATGAAGTTAAAGTTTCAGGACATATAAGTGCAAACGTAGAGTGCAGAGATTTTACACTTAATTATACCTCTGTGGAAATATGGAAGATGTGCCACATCTTAATGTGTGTGTGTGTGTGTGCGCACGCGCACGTGTGTTCTACTGCCCCCTTTCCTGAGTTCGTAGTCAGGACTGAGTTTGTAGTCAGTTCTGAGTTCATAGTCAGGACTCATCAAACAAAAAACATCAAAAACCAAAACCCAACGATCCCTCACCATAACTGTAAGAAAAATAATGGAAACATGCATTTGGGTGGTGCTTTTTGTTTTTTGTTTTTGTTTTTCAGAAAGGGTTTCTCTGTGTAGTTTTGATGCCTGTCCTGGATCTCGCTCTGTAGACCAGGCTGGCCTCAAACTCACAGAGATCTGCCTGGCTCTGCCTCCCCAGTGCTGCGATTAAATATATGCACCACCACTGCCTGGCTGGGTGGTGCATTTTTTTATGAGATATATTAAGATAGAATAAATCTGTTATACTCCCTGTTATTTTTATTGGTATAACAAAAGTGAATACTAATTAAAAATTATGATTAAAAGAATTAGAAATAACATTCACATCTAAGTCATCAAAATAAGTTTGTTGGGGCTGGTTTTGTTATTTGGTTTGTTTGTTTATTTGTTGGTTCATTGGTTTTTGAGACAGATTTTTCTGTGTAGCTGACTGTCCTGGAACTTGTCCTGTAGACCATGCTGGCCTCAAACTTGGAGATCTGCATGCCTCTGCCTCAGGAATGCTGGGATTAAAGGCATACACTACCACTGCTCAGCAGCAGGAGGTTTTTTATATTAAGCCTTCTGAGCATGAAAATAATTTTAGAAGCTTTTATTGTTTTCTTTTTTTAGAACCTATACTAGCCTGTGCTTTGTTACTTATCTGAAGAAAAACAGGAAGTCAGAAGAACCATTTGTTGCTTCATGTAATTTATATATATATATATATGTATATATATATATATATATATATATATTATATATAATTATTGATGATGATCTTTGAATACAGATATCCCAATCGAACACTGGGAAAACTGTAAATGGGATTTCACTACAAGTACTTTGGTTCAGAAATAAAAACAAATTTAATTATTTATGTGATAAATTATAACATAAAATATCCCATTTGCTGTCAGGCTTTGTTTTCTCTCTCTTGTGACTTTCATTCTAAAATCTGACATGGAAAGGGTACAAGAACATTTTAGGCATCCCTAGGCATAACTTGGTTATCTACTTTTGACACTTTCGTAAATGAAAATGGAGACGTGTTCATACCACTGTGCTAAACACAGACAGGTAGTCAGGAGGATAGAGTGCAAAATTATAAAGTGATCTGCAGTATGCTTCAAAACCCAGGATTTATTTGTGTTCTGTGCATTTTCCCCCATCAGCCAGTCCAGCAGGCGCCTGCAGCCACAGATCTTTTTGAGTTTCCCGGTGGAGCTTCTGATTCACTGGTACCCGGACACACCCTTGGAAGAGAGCTTGCTCAACTTTTTGTCTAGCTTCATTCCTGCCTGTTATCAGAGGTCACTGTGGTCCAGCCTCCAGAAATCTCACTCTGGCAACCTAGAGTTGTCCAGTTTTCCTTTTCTTTAAATACTGAAAATCTGGGAACTCAAGTTAGCACTCTCCTTTGGCAATGATAAGTCAGGAAAAAAGAGTTCCTTTACCCACAGAAAGGCACTCTCCCATTCACAGTCTCCTTCTGCCACTGCCTTTATCAGAGCAGGCTAATTCTTTCTTTGCTCCTTTTAACCTTACCCACCCCCCCCCCAACCCCCATCCAGGGGCTGGAGACTAGATGTGACAGAGGGGAGACAGGATTGACTCCCCTACTTTTCTATATTCCAACAATGTTGAAGACCGGCATATTTCTCTTCACTGGGATTCTGACAGTCCTGGTGAGAATCAAGTGCTTTCAACTTCATCTGAAAAGTGTTCCCTAATGGAAGAATCAAGTTCCATATAAGGAGAAGAAATCGCATGAAGTGCTGTTTCTGCACTCATCTAGAGAACACTGCCTATAGCTGTGAACCAAACTGTTACCCTTAGGAAAGCCCCTCAAAGAGACTCTACTGTTGTTTCCAAAACAAAAGACAAGGGAAAGAATGAAAGAAAAGAAACAAATAAATAAATGAAAGATTGGTTCATTAATTTGAGTCCACCAAAACGAGCAATGAGGATTGCACAAGGAAGGTAGATACCAATTATTTTGGAATGTTTGAAACACATTTCCCAAAGCAGTTAGTTGCTTATTTATTTTATGACCTGCTTTGTAATGATTTTTCCTTCTGATTAAAAATGTAGGTGAGTCTTCCCACATCCTTTCCTCATCTGGATTTCACCTGCCTTTCCTCTCTTTCAAAATTGTCCTTCAGGGAATTTTCTCTGATTAATACTACTGTAAGCAAACAATGTTTTTAAAATATTAATTTAATTGTGAGATATTTATCAGGATCTTCATATCACATGCATATGGATATACTGAATAGAATTAAAGTTATATTTCTTTAAAAGGAGTATTTACATACTGAAAGATAATTATTAGCAGATCAATACTCAACACTCAATGTCTGATACTTAATAAGTCTTTGAAATAAACAAAAAAGTATCATTCATCTTCCTAAAAATCTAGTATAATTATTTTTAGCAGAAAAATCTACTTATAACAGATTGGTTAAAGAAAAAACAAGTAGAAAGAATCTAATTTAATAAATCTTAGTAATATTGTTTTAAATGGTGACCAGGTTTCAGTTTCATTATTAAAGTTCAGAGCCCATCTATATGTTACTTTGACCTGTAGCTCCTATTGCTTCATGGATGAAAGTAAATCCATATAAACCATACCAAAGCCGTCATGGATAACTGGTGGTAAAACTTTATTATTCAAGTTTAGATGTAACAGACATCTTTGCTGCCTGAAGATTGTTTGCATAAGAAATACACCAAGAACATGTTGTGAGTAGAAATGAACATGCACTATGAAAACAAAATAAAATAAAATGAAAAAAAAATTCCACGTGTTGTAAGAACAGAACTATTATACCCCACAGTCTGATCTTCAAATCAGGACTACAAATTGAATGCTTTTTCTTATCAACATGAAATCATTCCATATGAAAGACATTTTCTGCTGGTGAATATTGCTGTTAGTTTTACATTGGCATTTTGAGATGTTTTCCGTCCCCACCCCCCACCCCCAGATCAATCATGTTGTCAAATATTACACCCTAAAGAATTCAGCATTTGTTATTGTGACACGTGCCTTATTGGTAGCCATTAAGAAACTATGGTCTTATCAGCCTTGTTATAGTCTTGCCTCTTCATAGTCAACACTATAGGCTGCTTAGTTAAGATATTTACAGCTCATCTTTAATAAGAATGATGCCAAACTTTCTTGGCCCTCGGGAACCAGAGTTTTAAATAACCCCCTTGGCCACATAATAATACTTGACACCTCTATGGTGCCCTCCAACCAAGGATCTCAAAGTGCTTTACAAACAAGTACTACATTACCATTATTATTTTTTAATATTAATATTATTATTATTAATATACTTTTCCATTTTACAGCTGAGGAACCTGAGGCACAGAAAGAAAGAATGATATTTCGCAGTCATTGTATTGAAGAAATAATGGGGTAAAACCAGGATCCAGTTTTGGGACTTGTGGGTCTGAGGAAGGCTGAACATTCTTTTCATGGTTGTTACTCTTGCTTTGCTCTGGTGCAGGACAGTGTAACCTTAACCACACTAAGTTCTCTTTCAAAAGAAACATGCTTTTCAAGAGATTATGTGAGCATACTTTATCCATTTCTGTGTGTGGATGACTGTTGATTTTCACATTTTCTTCATCCCTGCCTTGGCATATTTATGCCCTAGCATTCTCCAGAGGGTCCAACGACTCTGAATAAGTGGAAATGCTTTAGAAACTGCTGCACTGTGATCAGAAACACATGAGAACACTATGAACCAGCAACTGACAACCAAAAGTAAGCACTCTACAGAGAAGCTAACATCTTGCCCTTGGGAAATCTATGAGAATGCTGCTCTCCATGGGTCTATTTCTAACCACTGTTAGTTAATCATGGCCTGGTCAACCTAACAGTACCTACCCTTGGTTAGTACATTTAGTTTCATATTCATGGTGTACAGTTCCTCAGCTCTCCTTGTCTAGCAAAGTCAGCAAGCCTTCACCTACCAGCTAACCAAAGGTGCCATGTGGTATTTTTTTGTCATGATCCTCCTCCCAAAGGCAGACAGTATAATCCATCTCAACTATGGGCAAGAGGCTGGCATATGGCCCAGAGGCAGCATGCGGCATTGACACCTGACCACCAGCACATTCACTCCATGATTCCACCTCCAGATGGCAGATATCTCCATTTTCTAGAAAGGTGTTAATATTTGTTAACTAAGTAGGCAGGCAGTACATGAATCTCATGACAGGTCACTTTGTGATGTTTGCAGCCACGTGGCAAGAGGGTAATAATTATTTTGATAGCAATATGGATCATCTTCAATTTATTAAGAAAAACATTTCCCCAGGCATTTAAAAATATATATACACATTTTAATGTTTTTGGAGCTGTATTTGCATTAAATCATAACAGATTATGTGCACATGTGCAATCATAAACAAGATGTGCTACCACAGGCTTCCACAAAAAGCTCTTGAAGATAATCACTGGTTCCCTCTTCTCACTATTACCTTAGGAAAGAATCCCCATGCTTGTTTCCTAAAATCTACCTTTACTAAAAGAGAACAGTTTAGAACAGAACATTACTATCTTAAAAGTGGATTTAACAAAACAAAACAAAACAAAAAACATCTCAATATGACATGTAGAGAGAACTGGGCAACTCGTTGCCATTTGAACAACAGCGAGAGTGTTAACTCCATGAGCTCCATCCCTTTCTCATGTACTTAGAGGCATGTAGTGTCTCTCTCAATCCACAATCTTCTGAGGTGGGCTGGCTGGCTCTTTATGGTTTTATATCCCAAACAACAGTACTTTCTTAGGGGTGAGTGAAGATGAGAAAAAAATGTAAGAAAAGGAAGAGTGTGCATGAACTGGTTCTGGCCCAATGTTGGAGCCAATGCTCAATTTAGAATTGACAAATATTTGAAAAGAATTGCAGGTTTGAAATGGCATACTGCTTTAGATGGTATATCCATGAAGACTTCTCCAAGAGAGAAAAGTTCCAAAATCATCTTGAAAGTCCTTCAAAAAAAGGTTAAGTACCTAAATAGCTCACTTAAAATCCTTCACAATTTAAGACAAAACAATTCAAATGCCTTTAAAAATAAAAGCCATTTTTCTAATACATTTAGAAACATGGAATCAAAACTTTAGGTCATCAAAAAAATAAGGAGGATTTTAGTGTTATTATAAAGTTCCATCTTTTTTAAGCCCCACCTTTTCTCTACCAAAATATGAATAACATAAACAAACATGAAAATAAAATAATTCATAATAAAGGAATACGGAGTAAGATCTAACATACCGATGCTATCCAAAAACAATCTACTGAAAGGAGACTGACCATAGATATTCCAAGCACAGTGATATGTATTTTCCAATGCTAGTCATTGCTACTATGTCTGACTGAGAAAAAAAAAAACATGGAATGAAAAACAAAGGGCATACATGCCAACAATGAAAAGTCTACTTGTGTCTAACACACTGACGAAATTGCATAAAGGATATCAAAGATGTAATGTGCAATACTGCCCAAGTTGACCAAATTTCTGGTATATTGCTGATTTGGGCAGTCCACATATAATGAGCCTTGAGGATTGGTACAGTGCATTTCAATATTCTTTTACTAAGGAAATTAAATATTGTTGCTTGGGAAATCTCCTTTTTAGATCTTTGTCACCTCTCAGATATGACACTATAGTCTGAGATGCATCCACCAAAATTCCTAAGAAAGATAAATTAGATCAAGTCATTTGAATGTCAAAGCTCCTCATTCCACCTCTTTATTTCAGTTCTTGTGAATATTAGAGCTATGCCACAGACAGGTGAGATCAGAATAGGGTCCTTTAACAATGAAACCAGAGCAGAGGACTTAGTCCTGATTTTCTTTCTCTCCATCTTCTTTTTTTTTCCTTTTTTTCTTTTTTTTAAACATGAAAACAAACAAAAAAAATGCAAGAATGAAGATGAGAACACAACATCAGAAAAGTATTTTTAACTTCATTCACTACAACAGTCACGGACTGGTTAACTCTACCTGCCATCCAACCCTAAAAATGAGACTCCTGCATTGTGAGAAAGAAGCCAAACCCAACGAACAAAACAATACAAAGCCACTGCGAATTAATGTAAAAATGGAGTGCAAATGCGACTACAGAATGCAATAAAAACATCAGTGCTGCAGATTTCAGCAACACTTATCAAAATAATTTCTGAAATGTTTCCTCTGAAACACAGACAAAGCAATAAAAAGAGGATATATGTTTATCATCTTAAGCATAACAATGGGAGTTAAGAGCTTAAAATTAAGGAAAAAAAAGTACTTGGAATGAATAGTGCTACCCTTGTATCCTAAGTAGGCATAAAAATATTTTCATTTCCTTCTGGTTTTCCACACCATTACATTGAGAACTTCCTTTGTTTCATGTTACCGTTTACAACTTGAACACACACATACACACACGCGCACACACATACACACTAAAGATACCTACTGCAATAGAAATAGTTGCTTCATTACCTTGTTTGCTACATTTGCAAATGTAAACAGCTAGGCAGAGCCAGAACTGACTCTAATGCGTGATGGAATATCTTTGTTGCATACGTACACTGTAGAAAATAATTATTCAATATGTCAGGCACCATTATTTGAAATGTAATACATTAATATTTACTAGAAAAATAAGTTTTTTTTCCTATTTGTTCTCCCAACTTCTTTAATGAAATAAGTTAATCTGACAGTGCATCCAGTAGCTTGTAATATCTTCTACATCTCCGTGGCAAAAAATAAACTACTGGTTGGGACAATATAATGCAAATTATTAAAGTCAGTCCTTGTACATACATCCTTGTAGCAAGCATTGATGCTCGACTAACAGCACCTTATACCAATTATTTAATGTTCAATTATTTAGCCCTATTTCCCTGAGCAGTTATGCTGAGGAGCTCTCCCTTCATGGATAGTTTGTTTTTTTTCTTTTTACAAAGCCTTAAGTATTAAAAGTACTATGAAGACATACTTCTAAGAATCCTATTTAATGCTACTTAACTAAACCTGTATAAATCTAATGAAGGGGTTGATTGGTACATACACCAACTGTCAATCTGTGGTAACGTAACCTTGCATGCTGCCTGACCACAAAGTTTGGAAATCATATTTAACCAAAAGAAAATAAATAAATACAGCAGGTTACCTTGCGGAGAAATACCATGTGTCCTGAACAAATTAAACCCATGGCCTGACATGTTTATCTAATCTTTGAATTGAGGGGGGATTCCTTTAGTTACAATGTGCCAAGTGAGACTAGTGACCAACAGGAGGCTTGAAAAATTCCAAACCAGTTCATCATAAACAAGAAAGAAATATTTGGCTAAAATAAAATTACTACATAAGCACTGAGGACATTGTTTTTAAGAATGGATATATTTGGACAGAATGAGTCTAAACTGCAAACAAAATGACTACCAAGTACTGGAACGTCTAAAGGACAAAAAATATCAAAGAGGATGTGTATGTGTATGTACAGGCAGGGCTGGCCAGAAAAACCTTGTACCACCAACTGTCACGATCCTTACTGCTCTCTCAACAAGCCTAACCACACTTCACATTTTGAGGTCTAAATCTGAAACATGGTCAATGAGAGGAGACTAATTTGAGAGGGTGTTGTTTTCCATTGCCCTGGAGATTCATTTTCTCCTCATCTGGCTGGGATTTCATGATGTCTTTAAATTTAGGCAACCTCTTACAGACCTTTGAATGAAGGGGCCAATAGCCAGCCTAACACTGCTTTCATATGACAGCATGTAAACTCAAATTCTAGACAGCATTTGTATCTTTACTGACAAAACAGCTATAATTTGGCAGGCTTTTATAAGGAGATTCCCCAGTATACATTAGGCAAGACATTTTTGACTCACTAGGCTTTTTTTTTTTTTAATTCATGTTTATCATTTCCCATTCTTTCTCACTGACCATATGTTTCATTTTAAAACCTTGGTAACCTACTCATCAAAAGAAAGATTTTTTTTTTAAAGAGGGAATTTCATGTTGGATAAGGCAGGCTCTATGAAGTATTTTTAATAGGTCTTCATAAGACATTACAAGCTATTGAATTCCCATCAAGAAAACCTATTTCTATTTAATTGTGCTAAGTGCTAAGGTTTCACTCTTTAGATTTTCCATTTTTTTCCATTTGTGCATTGTTCCTATGCAGGCCCCTCTGGATATGCGTTGTGAAGTCATATTTGTCCGTGCAAAGATGCTGGCATATGCTGCACTGGAAAGGTCCGCTGTCGCCATGGCAACTCATATGCAAAGCATACATCACTTCATCCAGAAAGACAATGCCACAGTGCACACATTTTGTTGAAAGTTCATCTTGAGTGCTTCTGTCAACTTTCTCCGTTTTAACTACATTCAAGGGACCTTCATTTTTTACATTTGTTGGTGCCTTTGTTTTCTCCTTGGAGGCACCATTTGCAGTTGGCCCAGGTCTGGAATGCTTGATCGCCAAATCTAGAGGAATGTCATTGTCTGATCCAACAGCTGAAAAATGAGGAGGCAGATTGAAGGTGGGATAAGGCACATAGTTTTGGCAAGGATTTGGTAAGCCAGGCACGTGACTCAAGTAGTGTGGATTCCCAGGAACAGAGAGCTTATATTTACTCCAGAACCGTAGCCAATCAGCTTCACTCTGGAAGTCATTATGTACAAAAGGAAGTCCAAAAAGTGGGTACTGGTACTTTTCAATAGGGCTGCCTGGCGGAGAATAGTTGGGGTGTTTTGCAGGTCTCATGTATTTTTCTATGGGACTGCCTCTTTCAGAACTTCCTTTCCCTTCAGATACAGATGAACTATTTCCTGGATCTCCAGTACTTTCCTGAGGACTTTTTATCTGAATGTGCAAAGGCTGCATCCTTTTGTGAATATCCAGGGTTTGGCTGACCAGGACTGGCTGCTGAGCAGGATGGCTTTTAGTCAATGAACCCTGGGCTTCATATTTACTTAGGCTTGGAAGTGGAATTTCTCTCTGGTGACTTTCATTTAAGTGATCTTCGGACCTCCTCTCTAAGGGGCTTCCGTTGACCTGTTCCTCTCCACTTCCCCTCTGCTGCTTGCTGAGCTGCTCAGCCTGAAGTGCCTCTGGGTTAAGGCGCTTTCTCGTTCGTCTCCTAATTATCTGCTCACCGTTGTTTTGTTTAATGATGTTTAGAGGCCTGGGAGTCTGTAGGGAGCACACACACAATACATAAAAGAGAAACATTAAAAAAATGCATTCGATGCATTAAAAATTCCTCACAACTATAGACCACACACTTAAGTTCAAAGTTTTTATGCTACAGACTCACAAATTCTCTTCTCTGCCCTAAGCAGGATCAGAGGAAGTAACCAAAATGCAGTGTTTTAACCTCAGTAAATAATGTCCATCTTTGAAGGGGTGGGGTGGGGAAAACGAAAAACTTGAATTTGCTTGAAAGCAGCTTTTTTTTTTTTCTGACTCAGAAGACGAGGACTTTCACCACTGATAAAAAAAAGTTGTGAGGAGAAAAATCATTTGAAGAAATGATTTTTCTAAAATATAAGTTCTTGAGTTATATACAGATATGTCAAAAAAGTAATTTGGGAGGTAAGTATTAACAGTAATAAAAAATAAAACAAAAAAATTATGCATTGCTACACACTAGCTACTAAAACATGTTTCTTCCCTGGCTTGGTTCTTCTATAGAAGATCTAACCTGATCATGTCTATAACTGTCTCTTTAAGAGGAAATTAAGGTTTAATAAAACCAAAAAGGTACAGCCCTAAATACAATAAGACGTCGAAAACAGGTTAAAACAATTTATCATGGAACCCATTTCCAGACTGGTGCCTTTTTGTATGTCATTCATATAATAGAAGTAGTAAGAGAATAATAGAGAAGACAGCCCATTCTGGTATTTTCCTTCCCTAAGATGGAAGAAGAAGAAGTGAGCTCTCCTCAGAGCATGGAGACACAGCAAAGAAGGCGGCTAATTAGGGAGGAGCCCTCACCGGACTCCAATCAGCCTGGCACTTCCAGCCTCCAAAACTGCGAGAAGAAAACTAGTTCCTGTCGCTTTCAGCCACCCACTCAGCATCTGGGAGTCTGTCATGATGTTTTAAGCTGACTAATATATACATCTTCCTAAGGAATTGCAAAAGTAGTATATGATATTCCTATCAGAGTCTAGATAATCAAAGACAAACGCTATCAAAACGGTAAGGAAAAATTCAGGTAATTATCACATGGAATTTTTAGCCTTAATTTGATTCTTCTGTTTGAATGATCTCTATATATTCTTTACTGGTTCACAAGTGAAGCACTTAACTGTATATTGGAAATCTAAATTTCTTTGCAGTTTTCGTTCAAATATCTGATCTGTCATTTCATTCTACTTAAAATGAATGTTGACTTCCATTCAGCCTAAGTATTTTATTCAGCTTAGATATTATGTGGTTGGTGCTCATGTTCATGTTCAACAGGTATTTATATTATATGACTAAAATTTGTAGATAAGATTATAACAAAAACTAAAGGGTTCTAATTTTGATTCATAAAGCGAAATGAGGAAGTATAATAAATCAATGCATATTTATAGACTAAATTTTAGGAGAATGTTCAAATGTTCTGATTTTTTCCAAAAGAAAATCGATCATTTCTGCATAATTGTGAATCATTCCTGAAATATTTAAACTTCAGTACAAAAGGGATTTTTTTTGTATTAGATACAAATTTATTTGTATTAGATATTAAAACAATACAAATAAGAAACATTTGGGAGACTATTTCTGTTGTCACTGGGTAGACAGAAGTAAAGAGAGTAATACACTTGTTACTGGTGATTCAGTTATCAGCTTCAGGATGAAAGCCCTACCTGGGCTGGATATGCCACAAACATTTATGTTGTACAGAATGTTCCAGTTTATAAATACTTCTGTTCGTATCATAAAAATACAGTTTTTAATCTATATACTACAAAGAAGCTCGGAAGTGAATTAATTCTTAAAGTTGTATCATTGTTCTCTAATTTTTTGTGTTCACATATTTTTTATGTATTATCATTTATGGTAAATTGAAAAAAAAATGAACCTCAAAGCCAAGATCATCTTGCCTCTGGAGGGATGAACATTAAAATCATTTTTAGAAAAGTTTGGATTATTTCACAGTGGTTAAATTTTCATAATTTGGCTAAGTAGCAATTTAATTACTACTTGGCCTGTTGATTGGCTAAAGTTCAATTAAAACCATTAATGTCAGCACTCATTAAACAGAGGCTTGTTGCTGAGCTTAAAAAACAACTATATAAAGTGTTAGGAAGGGTCTTTCTACCAGCCCCATACTACTGGCTAGGGGCCGTACAGTATTCTCAATTAACACCATCGCTGACAGTGGGCATGCTTTTCAAAAGTATTTTCGGTGTCCACTTAGGAAGATGTTTTGTCTCAAAATGTATTCCCTGCAGTTCTCGTCTTTTCACTAGCCTGTGCTAAGAGCTGTGGTCCAGTGCCAAATAAAATGAAAACAGGCACAGGGAAAAGGATTTCTACTTACTAAGTGGGACACTGCCATTTCAAAGGCAGTGCTTGTTAGCATATGTACTGTCTAAACTGTAGAAAAAGTCCTCCAGGAAAGTAAGATTTCCTGCTCAGATGGAGGGATTGGTCAGGTTGCATTCTATTACATAGTTAGACGTAAAATTTTGAATAAAATTAGTTCAAATAACCCTCATGAGTCAAAACCAGATGGAGATCGCAGACATGGGGTACCTGTGTCCCTTCTCCCATGCCTCTGTGCTTGTCACTCAGGACGTCACACACCTCAGCCTAGGAGCCCCACATTCATGTGGCATTGTCCTATGCTGGTGCTTGGCCAGCTCTCAAACAGTCAAAATGGCTCTTTAAATTCCAGAAGGTAAACTGGAAAGTGAACACCCAGAGTGCTTCTATTTCTCTCTCGAACTTCTGTTTTTGCTGTTTCTCTTCCTAATTAAATTAATTCCAGTCAATTTGGTTAACTGTTAGTTCAACTAGCTGTTATGTGATGTGACATTCCTGGAATAATCATTTTCCTCTTCTAAATCAAAGATGCACAAACATTACTAAACATTTCAAATATATCTCCCTGTAACATCAAAGTGCTATTTTTTTAATAACAAATCATATGTACACTCAAAATGACTGCATTAAACAACCCTGCAAAGATAGAACAAACTGTGAAAAGGGACATATTAACCGTAAGCAAGGCCAGCTCATCTGTGTAAGCATCTCTTGAAGTGCTGGGGTATGTTCTTACCGAGTGAAGTTTCTGGTAGAGACCACATGCATTGCATACATATCCGCCATTTGCATTCTTTCGCCAAAGAGAGGTTTTTGTGGTCAGGCAATTGGCACAAAAAACACCAGAGCCTCTTCGCCTCTGAAATAGGAGGGAAAAAAAAAAAGAAATCCAAGGTCAGAGGTGAGTCACATGATCCAGGGAGTTAGACCAAATCAACCCAGGAGTTTTGTCTTTAGACTCACAACAATGACAGTATAAAACCACACTGCCCATAATGAGGTCAGGTTCAATTGTGTTTAATAGGCACCCCTGATTTTCATTATAATTAACCCTACAGTGATGGATGAGGTGTGGGGAACACCAAAGGCTTTCCACAGAAACAGCTTTAACTTTTTGAACTTTGAGTTGCATGCCTTTAATGATGGCTCCTAAATGCTCAACCCTAAAACATACCTTTTAAAAGTGTCAAAACAAAAGTGTCTTTTTTAAGACAACACATGGCAATATGCTTAAAGTCAATTGGAATATGCTACCTGAGCCTTCGAATACAGGTTAAAACAATTCATCATGGAAACCATTTAACATTACACCAGATTGTTGCCTTTTTGTATGTCATTCATACAACAGAAGTATTAAGAGAATAATAGAAGACAGCCCATTCTGGTATTTCCCTTGCTGTTATGAAGTCAGAAAGAGAACACCTTCTATTCTCCAAAGCTGAGAGGACCTTTAGACACTGCTGCCTAGAAGTACAATATTGCTAATTCCAACCCTTAGGAGGTGTCTGCTGAAGCTAGACAACCCAGTTCCATCACTGGGTCTTTACTTAATCTGACCTTAAATTTGGAAATCCAGAGGGTTTGTTCAATACAGCGTTGATTTTAGAGATCTGAATTGTGCAATCACCAAATTCAAAGATTAGCTAAGAATATTTAAAAGTTGCTTAATTAGTACCGTTGGTTGCATTTTTGTGACCAAGTAGTGATTCTGCTGAACTTCTCATTTAAACAAAAGTCAGGCTGTGTGTAGGCACAAATAGGAACAGGCAGGAAATGGAATACTCTTGAAAAAAAAAAAACCTAAGAAATGCTCAAATTGTGGTTCAGCTCTCCTTTTTGCTAGGAAGCAAAAGCCTTTAATGATAAAAATAGGCATACGGGATAAGGGGTGGAAAAAGCCTTGCTGTAACCTAATTTTATTATAAATTAAATATTACAAACACCATAAGTCAAAATTTCAGGGATTCATAAAATTTAGGCAATTTATTTAACTAGAGTCTATACTGTAGAGGAGTGGTGTGCCTGCCAAAAAAACACAATGGTTATAATTGTACTCTGATACATTTCAAATGGAAAGCTTTCTGCAGACATAATTTTGGCTTCGAGACTGGAACACTTTCTTGGCATTGAAAGGGCATTTGATTCATCGGGTGTTTCACAATCTATCACTAAAAAGACCTGGTGAGCAGCCAGCTCCCTATAGGGTAATTTTTCCATCCAGATGCAAGTGCTATCAGAGGCCCTCGTCAGCTAAACTAATTATGATCTTGCAATTGCTGATGCCTGCTCACTCTAACATTCGACATCCTCCATTAATCATCAATACAAGGAAAATGAATGAAACGTAAAGAAATGAAGGCTGCTAAGCTGCACAGCTATAAAAATCCGAAATGAGAGCAATAACTTAACAAGATTGGGGGAATGTTTTTAGTGAGCACAAAAGTCAGGCTAACAATTGCCCTTTTAAACCAAGAACACGATTTCATTAGTGTAGCAGTTTGTGCCACTTTAGGTGATGTAATAAAAGCTAGATTTTCCCTAAAGATAATCTCCAGCTCCCCTTTCCTGCCTTCCCCAAACCCACTCAGATCCAGGAATGCAATGCGAGTTTCCAAATCCCCCACAACAGCAACATCAAACACTGGAGTCAGAGGTCTGGAGGTCCTGACTGGGGTCTGCTGCTGAAGTAGGGAACCTGCTGCCTCTCAGAAACCAGCAAGCAATTCTAAGTTGCACTTGTCAAACAATCCCAACACCATTTATCCAAAGTAAGCTGTGGAGGCTGGTTCGATTTAAACTGTTAACGTTTCAGTTGCATCCTGGCATACTGTCGTTTCCCCAGATCGAAATAACTCAACGGTAAATCAACCCCAACATGAGCCACACAATCTGTGTCAATGTCCGTATGGAAACCAACCCACATATATGGCTGAGGCTGCTCAGCTTTGAATGTGAAATGATTCACTACAGCTTGCTTTCCTTTTCTTATGCCCTGGGTGCCTGACACAGCATGCCAAAGTGGGCGTAATGCTGATTTCAGTGAGCATTTCAATCCTTGCACAATTTGATGCCTAATTCTCTTGCCCTGCATTAGGAGGGGGGGATTCTGAAGTGACAGCACTGGTTTCCATAGGTGTACCTTGCACATAGCCATTGCATGTAGTTCAATAAAGGTCACTGTGTTCTAGGATAAACCATCTTTCCTAAATATATCAGGTCTACTTTAAATTCTCAAACTCAAAATCAAGAGGCCTTGGAGGTCACAAGTCAGACTGAGAGTGAGGCTACAGTATTTAAACCTGTTTTTGTCATTTACTAGAAGCTACTCTGGGAAATGCTACAGAATCTCTCAGCAATGAAAACTCCCCTTGCTTTACAGGGTAAGCTGTATGCTGATGAGAGAATCAGTGTATTCATAGTATATAACAGATGCTATTCAAACATGACAATGATGAAATAAGATGACTAGAAAATGCTCAGTGAGGCTACCTATTGGTCAAAGGAATTTGATTGTGGCTACATTTTTATGAGAAAAATTCTTAGTTTTGTTTTCATTACCTTAAATGTCATCATTGAGCACTTAAGACATGCTTAACATATCCAGTTATGTATCATCAATTGTACTTCACGTCACTTGTACATTTCTAATCGATCGTGAGAATGGAAAGCTGAGTCAGAGTGGAATACCTAAGGTGTTCACACCTCCAATTCAATAGGAGCCTGCTTGTGTTTGGGTGGAGAGTGGGAGGGAGGTGAGAAGTATTTCACACATAAAATGTTAACTCTTATCTCAACAAACTTAGCACTTTGGAAACTTTTGCAGAACCCGATCTTGGAGGCACTGAAACTTATTGAAGCAGCAGAGAAGGCAGAAAAGTTGGACAGTGATGCAAGTTTAGTAACCACAGTACCTCATCTCTCAAAAGCACAGCACAGATGCTAACCACGACAGGATCCAGGAAGATATTTCCTTGAGGTATGCATTCCCTGACTTTATTCTGGGGCAGAGAAGCAACCTGCTACCAAAGGAGGGTAAAGGAAGTCTCTCTGCCTCACTTTGAAAACAAGCTTTGGCCTAACTTAAAGAAAATTTCCATGAATTGATGTAAAGTCTACCCTGCATACCCAGATTTTAGACATTTTAAGTTTTCTCCTTTACAGTGAGCTTCTTAGAAAAAGAAACCATGTTTTCCAGCAGTCATTGAATAATTTTAAATGGTAGATACCAAGGATAGTGCTGGAAACATCACTGCTTATTTTTATTTTCAACAATAATATTCACATTTGTTTTTCAAAAAAAAAAGAAGAAGAAGCATGTTTCCTTCAGAATTAATCTGAGTTAGGAAGAAACCATAGATTATACTATAAAGAATAAAATCAAGAAAATAATATGCTATCTAGTCTTTTCTCCCCACTTTTCTTTGGGAAGTAGTGATGCCAGTTTATGGTAGATGCTGGAGTTACTAGGTCAGGCAAGGCCAAAGCCCAACGTTTCCATTATTATACATAGCCATACATTACTGATGGTTCTGCATGTCCAAGTGCGGTTTAAATCACAAGTTTCACCATTTCCTACAAGCTGCTCTTAAGAGATAGTAATAATATGTGCTGCTTGGACCTTGTGCTGTAGAGAGAGGAGAATTACAGGGCGGCAATAAGGGCAGTGCTGAGGGGGAAATGATAGACAGAGTAGCTAGTGGATTACACCACCTGCCATTCCGGAGGGATGTATTTAGTACTAATCTTTTCTCTCTGAATGAAGGAAAGCTAGCTGCTTAAAGACATACACAGAAGATGTAGTCTCAGTCCAAGCACATCTTCTGCCTCTACTGAGTTTGCTGGATGCTACAGCGATGGGAGATTGTCCTCTCACCACAAACCTACATAAAGTCAACTCAGCTATCAAGTTCTACAGAAGAAACAACCCAACATATGTAGTCAACAATTCAAGGAAGGGACGCATCTTTGATCTTTAAGTTCACACCAAACTACTGTAGGAGTGTCATTACAGTTAAGTGTTTTTCCAAATATGCCATCAAGCTTGTTCATACAGGGATTTGCCTCCTCAGTAAGCTCTGGATCTTTCTATGCTGAGATTTGGCACACCTGCTGGTTAATCCAGATATGACAAGGGAAAAAAAATAACCTAAATTGTTGCAGCTGCTTTTATTGCTTATTTTATTTTATTACTTGAGAATCATTCAGTAACAAAAATTTTAGGGTTTTCATGTTTCATTATTAAGAAGAACTGAATTTACCTGATTAATAAAAAGAAAATTTGATTGAAATGTTTATTCAAGTGGCTTAACACTGAGAGACATGACTATTCATTTCTAAAATACTAAAAGTCTCCATTGGCAAAGACATTTCTGCAAAAATGATCTTTTATAATAGTTTTTTATGAATAAGAACCATTCTGGGACCATGTAATTATATAACAAGCCTTGATAGGGAGAGTATTTACTCACATTTTTTATGGTTTTATATCTTAGCTATTTTAAATCGAATCAATCTGAAATTTGATATACATGCTGTGAGCCTGGATGTTCCTCAAATATTTTTTAACTCTTTAAATATTTTCTGTGTTTATTTGATTATATCAAGAATTCTTTGCAAATTTCATTTTAGGGAAATACACAGATGGCTATGATAGAACCTTCTGGTTCAATTTTGCAGTAATAAAATTTCAGTGGTAAGTTTAATTCAATTCAGTTCTGGGAATAATTATTGAGTGTCCAGTTTGTGCCCGGCACTGTGCTACAAGCTGAGGTATAAGCAATACGTAGTTTCCCATGGTCTGGAATCTTGCAGATTTTCTAGTGGACACACAGCTGAAGTGCCTAGGCCATTCATGAGTCC